CGGCGGGCGAGCAGAGGGTCGCACTGTGCAGCTATCCAGGTCGTGCTCTCCAAGCTGAGAGTTGTGAGTCTGAGTAAAGCGGTAGTTCTGTCCCAGGATACATTCAAAATTAAATAAATGTGCATGTGGTTTCCCAAGTTCTCATCACATGGAATTATAAGGAATTAAAGGCTGCCCACTAGGTCAAAAAGAAAGTTACTGGAATAAATTTTCTTTTTCTTTTTTGCAGTACTGGGGATCAAACTCAAGACCTTGCACATGCGAGGCAGGCGCTAATGCTGCTGAGCTGTCTCCCCAGCCCTTGGAATAAATTTTTCTAAGATAAAACATTTAACCTTGATTTAATACAATAGAATTTTAATTCTACTGGCTTTGGAGCACATGATGTAGAACACTTTTAGGATTTTTTTTTAAAAAAATTACTCTACGGTTGTTTCTCCTGAGTAGTCTTTTTCAGTTTCACAGGAGCTTCCTTTGCTGTCGATCTAAAGGGTTTAGTCTTGGCTTCTCGTTTCGGAGGGATGGTGATAGCATTTTCCTCTACTTGTTCACACTTTCACTATGTAGTTATCGCCTGGTGTTCTCTTTTGTTTCTCTTCCAGAGTGAAAGAATTGAGAAAGGCCAAGGAACTTGAAGACATACAGCAGCATCCCTTAGCAATGTGACATTGCTTTTCAGACTGTTTTCATTTCTGTTTTTAGCAGAGACATGCAACAAAAACAACAGACGCGCACATGTACACACACACACACACACACACACAATCCCTCTGCAGTTTTGGGGAGAACAGCTGCAGGATTTTAACAGGAATGTTTTGGTCATTGCATTTGCACTTTCATGGACAACTTTTAATTTGATCAGCAAGACATCTTGGAACTCAATCTTCTGTTGGATCATAGGAAAACAAGACACCAGGAGGAACTGAAAGAGGCTTCTCTTCTTAGGAAGAAGCCATTTTCCTTCTCATATAGGGCTGTATTCAAACATCGTGTGGAACTGTACAAATATTTATACCAAAAATATAGATAAGAAAAGGTGGGGATGCGCTAGCGACGAGGAGAATGCTGCAGCTGCACCCGTGGTTATTTCCAAGAAGCTGAATCTGGGATGGATTCTCACCGGAGGGCTTAGACCATACAAATCCTTCTTGGGTCCGTGTGTTCTCATTTCCTTCACTGGTTCCTAGTTTCTTTTTGTTTCTTTGTTTTAATCTCTACAGCACACTTAATGCAACTTTTAAAATCTGCAGGTTTTTAGTGTCTTGTGGGAATTTGCAGAGGGGCGGGTGTGTAGTAAACGGGTAATGCATGGGAGATACCGAAAAGCAGCTTACAGAGCTTCAATTTATTTTCATGTCCCCGCCACCACCCAAGAGCCTGCGAGGGTAGAAATCATCTCGTCCCTTTTCTCATGATCAGCACTTTAATTTTTTTGCCTTACTTTCATGTGCAATGAGAATTACTTAAGAATTGGTAAAGCATGTAGCCTTTTTTAGTAACCTTGGAAACTAGTAATTCCAAGGCATCATAAACCTTGCCTGGACACCTGCCACCTCCACGCCCAGCGTGGGGCTGCGTTCTGGCCAGTAAGTCCCATGGTTTTGGCTCTCTCTCATCCAAACGGCGGTTTCTGTGTATATATAGAAGGTAGAAACAAAACGGGAGAAGATATTTGAAAGGGATTATATTAATTGCTATTTTATTCACAAAGGTCAATAACATGGCAAGATAAAATTATTTGTATAGTTTTGTCTGAGCAAGAAAAATGTGGATGTATTGTTTGTATATATTGTATATATTAAAACAGAGATATGTGCATGAAATCAAGAAAAAAGAAATGAACAAAAGCAAAGCATTAGTGGCTATGGTCTGTAAAATGAAACAAAAAAAAACTTTATTTCACTATAAGAGTACTTTATTTTAAATGTTCTTTAGAAGAACATTTTGCTAAAGCATGATTAAACTGCAAAAAAAAAAGAGCTACTGTATTTAGACTTAGGAACAAAGGCAGAGTAACATTACTTAAAAAAAAAAAAGGATATGTTTACATTTAATTTTGGCTACCAGGAGTTTAGTTTATTTTATTTAAAAAAATTTTTTTGCCAATGGTGCCAAGTAATGTGAATGCTAATACCGCTTAAGAAAATTAAGTTACTTTTGCAAAACAGATAATCATAAGATGAATCCTTATATAGCTTAACACCATCCACTCACTCCAACGAAGAACACTTTGAATGATCAGAACCTGAGAAAAGAAATAGTATGAAGAACAGAAAAATGTCATGTTTTCATACCTCCTGCTGGAAATCAGAAACTGTAATTAAATTGTACAAAAAAATGAAAAAGAGACTGGTCTTGTAGGGATGTCACGGTATATTACTGTTCCCACATAATGAGGAGCCAAAGAAATCTGATGCTTTTAAAAATTAAACTACTTATTTCAAATTGAAAGAACAAAGCTCGCATTTGCTGATGCCAGTTTAAAATCCCCAGGTTAGGTGGAGGATCAGTTGGTGTGAAGCGGAGATGTTTTTACTTGGTTCTGGCTGCCAACTGTGAGTTAAAACTCAAGGCTTGTTGTGAAGCCTAAAAATATTCACAAATAAGCTTTCAAACTGGTGTCTTTAGAGGGAAGGTAGAGACAAAAAGATTGTGGTAAAAACTGGGGTCAGTGCTCTTGGTGCCTTTTCTATAATTGTACTTGTTTTTTAATTCCTTCCTTTCACTGCCAACCTCGAATTACTGTACAGTACATGTCTTTCTGCTTGTGATCGGCCTTGACAACAGTGACAGCCCCACAACTAGTAGCCACCTGTACATTTGTAAACTGACCTGACTCGATTTTGTTTTTAAATGTGTGGGTTATGTTGCAGCTGTTGCAGTCGTCCCCCCCCAAAAAAAATGCCTATTATTTTACATGACCTGTAGGAGGACACTTGAGTAATTTCCCAACACACAGTTGCATTCATAACTGGGTACAGAATGCGAAAGCCAGCTCTTTCAGAACATCCTATATTAATATTGAATGTGGATGCATTTATTCCATTCAGTATGGTACACGTAACTGATCTCTGGACCAGAGTAATGACCTCAGTGGATCTGCTTTAACCCTCACATTATTTTTTTTTTAATGTTTCACATGCTACATTCTTAGCTGAATAAGAAAATTCTGGATGATAGAGACTTGAATAGAATTAGGAGGTTCTATGGAAGGGATAGGGAGTAGGTTCAAAACCTGCCAGTATAACTGAATCCTAGGTGAGGTAAAAACGCACTTCCACTGAAAGCATTTCTGACCGCTTTTTCTTGGTTGTGAATATTAATTTCAAATATACGATGATAGGTAAGCGCAGCTTTCTTGGATAATCTGAATTCCCAAGTGCCAGGAGTAGGATTTCATTATAAAATTAATAGCTAATCTTATTCTGTCTCCTGAAGATTTAATTGCTGTCCTTGTTACCCATTCAAAATCAGCTGTACTGTGTGAACAAAATAAAGACAACACGAACCCCTCTCTGGCTGCACGGCCGCTTATGGCAGTTCCACACCGTAGTTGGCGCCCAATGGGGGGTCCCTGAGACTTGCATGTAAAACTAGTCTAGATGTCTTCTTTTTGTAAGTTTTATTTTTGTAATTGTGCATGTAAAGCATTGTTGAACCAATGGATCTGTTGAAGAGCTCAGCTGCTGGAAACCATGCAAAATGTTTTGAATTGCCCTTAAATACGGAAAATGTTTTCTGAATGCTTTATATTCTTTCTGCTGTAAATTAAAAATGAAGAAAATTTCCCCATACTATCTATGTGTTTTGCTTTAACTTTATACTGAAATCCAAAGTGTTGAGCACATGTTAAAGACCCCATGTAATAATTTAAAACATTTCCTTCTGATTCAGTTACAATGTTGTGACATTGAATATTACATGTTTCAGAAATATCCACCAAATAACACATTTTAGAGCAGCTTTCTTAGAGGAAAGCTTTCCACCTATCTGTGCAAGCCTCTCAACACATCAATCATTTATCTAAGTGCAGTTATTCAAAAGATAGAGACGCTGATCTAAATCCACCTTTTCAGTTGAAATCCTGAAGTTTTTCACAGGAGCACTCCAGCCGACGCCCATCAGCCTGCCTTGCTGAGCGCTTTGTCGTCTTCCATCCTCCTCCACTGCAGACAGTCTCGTCTCTCTAGGAGGCCACCCCATCCATTTCAAAACTGCCAAATTCTGCATGGCGAATCTCCCCCGACCATTTCAAAGAACTCCGACCCGTTCACCTGTGCCCACCCTGCCCCTGGGTGCTCTGTGCGCTGTCGTGTGCCGTCTTAGTTCGTGGTGTTTATTTCTCCCTTGTCTAAAAAATTCTGTTCAGCTCCTCAACTTGGACCTCTGTGGCTCTCTTGTTTGTCACAGTTAACTTTCCACGCTTTCATTTCCAGTTCAGAAAGACAATTTGGCGTTTACTTTCACTTCTCTAGGCGACGGCCCCGTCAGTGTTTGTTTCCCTTGAGACTGTCTGGGCGTGACAGTTCACTAGCGAGTGCTTTTACAAAGTAACCCCGTGCAAGACTAGTGTGCGTTAGGGCTCCGAGGAGAATGCCGAAGCTACTTTTGCCGGATTAGATGATCCGTGCAGTGACAAATACTTGCGTCACTAGTGAAAAAGGAAAAGGAAACCTAATTCAGTAGCCCGAAAGGAATTTCATCTCACAACTTTGGAAAAACACGGCGTGTCCCCAGGACCTCTGGGTTAAACTGGGCCCCTAAGCGGTAGCGTGCATGCCCTCCCTAGAGTTATCGGGTGCCCAGAAATGGTCCACGAGCCCCAAGTGACCTAAAGCGACGGCCTCACAGCCCCCCTCGCCCCTTACTCAAATAGTCCCTTTGCAGCGCCGAAAGCGCGACTGACCGCCGCAAGGGCCGTCGGGGCAGCGCCTCGCGAGCCCCGCCCACTTCCGGCGCGCCCTCCGCCCCGAGCGCGCCCCGCCCACTCCCGCCGGGCCCTGCCCAGTGACGTCACCGCGGCGCCACCTTCCCGACTTAGGCTGGTGCTTTCAGAGCTCCTCAGGTCTTCATCCGTGGCCGTCGTCTCGTCCGCCAAAATGTGAGTGATGAGACACGACATGGGACAACCTGGAGCCCCGGAGGCGTCGCCCCGAGTGTGGCCCCGCTCCCTGCCCTGTGGCCGCCCGCCCGCGCCCAGACACGGGCCGCCGCCACAGGCGCATGCGCGGGGTGCCCGAGGCCTGAGGGTGGGCGCGGGCCCGGGTGCAGGCCGGGGCCGGGGGGCTTCTCCCCGCGCTGCGAGGGCCTCGCCTTCGGATGGCAGCTCTCCTGAGGGAGCGCCCCACGCGGCCGCTGGAGCTTCCCCGAGGTCCTTGCGGCGGCCCGCGGGTCCGGAAGTGCAGGGAAGGGACCTGGCCGCGCCCTGCGGTCGGAGCGGACCGGACACTCCCCCGCGCCCGGGCACCTGGGCTCGCTAGAGACCGTGGCCTCGGGCCGTCGCTCCTCTGGAGCGAACGCACTCTTACAGTGGCCCCAGAATCCCGAGTAACTTCACGGGCAGCATTGTGAGAGTGCTGATGTGAAGCATAACAAGGCCCGGTATCCCCTGCAACCTGCTCGGTTCTCACCTACCGAGGAAACAACAGGTTTCCTAGAGGAACTAGGTGGGGACAGCGCCTGGCAGGTACGCGCCGCCGAGGCTGCTGTGCCAACAAGCGGATCTCTCTCGGCTCGAGGAATTAGCTGTACTACAGCCAGCTTCATTAACTTTCTAAATCTCTAAAGGGTCCATGGGGTATCCCACCTCAGAGGGCTATGAGATTTCAGTAATAAAATGTATGGGAAGGGCTTAGCCTTCGAAGATGGCCCTAAATAGAATACTGTCTGAGAGACTGTTGGTTGGATCGGCTGTAGTCCTGGTCCCTGGTCATTGACAGGATGTTAATTTAAAATAATTGTTGACTTAGTGAATCAGTGACTGTCATATAAACAAGGCACATGCTAGGCACTGCCTTGAATACAGAGAATTGTGAAACCCAGGAGTCTGGGGGGGAACCCCAAGATCTTTATCCTTGAAAAAATCAAAGTGACACCAGCCAAGTCATGGGAGAAGTGAGGAGTGAGGCCAGAGTGGCCGCGCAAGCAGTAAATTTTTCAGTGAAGACTGTAAAAGGCAACTGAGGAAAGGAGCGTTCCTTCTACTTGCATCTCACCTTCGCACCACCCAGTCCCTGCCTGCAGGTGTTCCTAACCCAGCATCTCCATGCTGGAAAAAGGCTACTGTGCAGTTCTTCATAACTGCAAAGCAGTTCTTGTCACAATCCAGTGTTTGTCTCCATTTAATGTTTAATGTCTCCGTTAAAATAAATGAAAAAGGGCCAGCCAAATAGCTCAGCAGATTAAAGCACCTGTTTAGGCTGACACAGGGCCGGAGAGTTCAATCCCCACTATGCAGGCCCCAACCCCCTGGGGTGCGCCTAGACAGTGACTGAGACTGGGCGTGGTGGTGCACTTGTAATCCCAGCACTCGGGAGGCAGTAAACAGGTGGATCACTATGAGTCGGAGCTACTTAGTGAGACCCTGTAGACCCTGTCCTAAATTAATGACTAAATGAAAAAGAGTTGGAAATATAGTTTACTTATCCTGAGATCAGGCACTTCAGTGATGCAAGTAGATCTATTACATCTTCATGGTAGTTACTTTATCACATGGTATGATCTTGGAAATTAGGGAAAAATTATAGCAAATATTGCTAGGACCATTATTACAGGGGAGGATGGGGGCTTTAGTTCTGACATACACAATCATTGATACTTGCATTTAGAATAATATCTTTGTATTCAGCATACATTTGCAACCCTGATTTACTCACGCTGGTGTCTTTACACATTTCAGGTCTGCTGGATCGAGTGCTGCCAGTGGCAGTAACCGAAGACTTCAGCAGACGCAAAATCAAGTAGAAGAGGTATTGCTCTAAGATTCCATTTTTTTTTTTGGGGGGGGGGCAGAACTGGGGATTGAACTCAGATCCTTGCACTTGCTGGGGAAGCGCTTATTCCACTGAGCCATCTCCCTGGCCCTGCTCTAAGATTCTAAAACCTGAATTTTAAATAAGCACAGGCACACTCTGGAGATAAGTTTATTTTTTAAAAAGCATCATAAAGGGCCAGGGAGATGGCTCAGTAGAATAAGCGCTTGCCTGGCGAGCACAAGGGCCTGAGTTCAATCCCTGGTTCCACAAAAAATAAATAAATAAATAAATAAATAGCATCATAAATGCATGAATGTAAATTTTGATAGTATTGCAAATTAATAAAATCTACCCCTCCTGTTTTGAGAAGCTCTGATCTAAGCAAAAGTCAGTGTCCTTGATTTCATGCTTAATGTTTCTGCAGCAGAGTCCCATACCTAAAACACAGACACATAAACATTCTCTAAGAATGCCTTTGTAAAATAAGATAATAATGTTTTAAGGAGTAGAAAAGATTGTTCAAGCCAGAAGTGCATCCTTTGGAGGAGACACTTTTCCAGAGTGCTGTGAACTGCAGCTTGACGTCGTCCTGCTCACCAGAACGGAGCAACTCTGTAGAACGTGTCCACGGCTGCTTGGGCTGCTCAGGCAGATGCTGACGAACTGCTCTCGCCCAGCACATCTGTATTTTAGAATTCTTGAGGATTTTTACATCTTTTGTTCTGTATATGCAGTATATGCAGAACTAAAATCAAAGGTTGTGTGAGAAATTAAGACTAGTATTTCCCTGTTCCTAAAAGCAGCCACTTTCTGCACTTAGCTACCCTAAAAAGTAGAGTTAAAAAGTAGATACATTATTAAATCATCCAGGATGCTTTGGTTGGGTGTTTTAAGAACAATCCTCACAATTTTATTTGTTTTTTTTTTTTTTTTAATTTATAGATGTGTGTGTGTGTGTGTGTGTGTGTGTGTG